CCCCAGCCAGCATGCTGGCTGGGGAATTCTGGGAATTGAAGTCCACACATCTTCAAGTTGCCACGGTTGAGAAACCCTGACCTCGTCCAACACTCTGCCCACTGTGGGAATCTACTACTACACTCTACCTGATAGATAAATATGCAGCCTCTGTTTAAACATATTCCAAGAAGATGACTCAGGCCTAATCATTAACACAAGTGCAAATAATCCAGATCTACTTGAAGAAGGAGAGGAGGAAAAAAAACTCGTAAGAAATGTGGGCGTGAGCACATCAAAATCCATAGAAACCTCCAGTTATAAGACACAGGCATAAGCATCTACAGAAATCAGGCACAGGTATACAATTTATGCAGAAATAAGATTCATTCATTCATTCACACACACAAACACACCGTTTGTAGAAATAATGTGTAGATGTGGAAATAAAAGGTTGAGCATATAGAAATAAGGCACAAGTATAGAGATTCAAAAATCTAGAGATGAGAAATAATAGGGAAATGAGAAATCAAGCCCAGTTACTGAAATCTAGAAATAATCAGATAAACCTTCAGTTTGGTTGGCAAAGCAACCAAATTCTTACTTTTTTACAATGAAACCAGCCAAAAGGAAATTAAATTCACCTCTTGTCTGTGGTCTGTATCCTTCCCTAAGAAGAACCTGCCACGTGAGCGTCAGACTGTGCCCTTTGTACACCAGCTCTCTGGGCGAAGGGCATATTTTAAAAATGTCGTACGGAACTTTCTCCAGTGGTAAGCTGTGCCATCTAAAATTTCTGCAGAAGGAACATCTGGAGTTAAATAGAACGTGTCACCACAGAGGCAAAAAGGCCGTTCCCCAAGCAGGTGTTCAAAAAAAGCCTGCCTCCGATTGTAGACAGAGGCAGCGTTCTCATGGGAAGGATCAAGTGAGCCCTCCCTTTCCCTTTTGGAGAAGAGGATAAAGGAAGCAGTGCCGTGCAGTGGTAAAGGAAGTGGCAATTGGCGGTGCACATTCCTAACCAATCGGGTCCTGGTTTGCAGAAACGCCATGAGCCCAAGAAGGGACGTTTGATTGTTTGTGGCCATGGGTCTTTAAATTCGGAAGGTATCTTCTGCCTCCTCAGCGATGACCATGGGACGACTTGGAAATACGGGCGACAGCCCTTGTATGGGATCCCTTACGGTATGAATAAGACTTCCGGTGACTTTATTCCTGATGAATGCCAGGTGAGTATAGCTGTGAAGGTCAAACCTTGGCTACAGAGTTTTGTGTCCTAACTCAGTTTCTGTCAGGCCCAGCCCAAAAACAACAGTGAAACAGTCCAGTTGAGCTAAGTTTCTTTATTGGCTTACACCTTACAGACAGAATCATGCCGGACTAAATCTATACTACTGCAACTAGTGGGTATACCCTGGGAGATTCTAGGGAGTGGCTACCCTGAACCTCTTTCGCTTCCCACACTCCCCCTGTGGACTGTGTTGTCTTTTGTCTCCTCCCCCCTCCTTCCTGATAGCCTCGATCTCCGTTGTTATCCACCACAATTTCTGTGCTGTAGAGACACATTCATTGTGATGGTTATGTGTGATCCTGCGTGTGAGGTAGCGCTATGAAGAGCATTTCATCAACTTTTAGATGGGACAGTAATTTAGAACAGTGTTCCTTAAATTTTTTTCTCTCAGGACCCCTTCCCACTTTTAAAAATTATGGAGGACCCCAAAAGAGCCTTTGTTTGTAGGGGTTATATTTATCGAAATTGACCATATTAAAAATTATAATCAATGCATTCACTTCTGCTATCGCTTCTCACGATCGTTTGATGGGATTTTAATACTGTATTTTATTTCAACGTTGGTTGGCAAATAATTTTGATTTCACAGACCCCAGAGAGGGTCTTGGGGGGGCCCCAGGAGTCCTAGGACCACACTTTAAGAAATACTGATTTAGAACATTATTTGCAGATGGTAGACATTTATACCTGACTTTTGGGAAAATAGCACAGAACCGCTGAGCATGCCATTAAGGAGGAACTTGGAGAACCGATTACACAGACCAGAGATTGAAGGAAAACATGAGAAATAAACACTAATCCTGCCTTGATTTTGTTTGGTATAAGAATGGACAGAGAAAGACTTGGGACAGGTTTTCAAGATTGATTTCAGCTCTTCAAAGTCAACCCAGTCAAGAAACAGACATTGCAGGAATGTGAGGAATGCTATTTTAGTGTTGTGGGGTATATTTCAGTAATCTTGAAAGCCGGTCCAGATGTCTCCATGTCCCCTCTTACACTAAATAAAATCAAGCTGAAGTTATTTTGAGATATTTTCTCACACTTCCTTCAGTCTTTGGGGTGTGTAATCCAGTGTTACTCAACCTTGGCAACTTTAAGATGTCTGGTCTTCAACTCCCAGAATTCCCCAGCCAGCCATGTGGCAGTGGTAAAATTCCTGAGAATTTCCATTGAATGGAAAGTCACTACTTTCTCTACATTTTAAACAGATCTGAAAGAGGAAGGTGAGCTGGATTCTAGTCTTCATGTTTCCAGGGAAGGAGCTTGAAATACAGGCAATGTGACCTTGTATAAATTCATTCAGAATTCCATCCCACTGAGTTCAAGAGGGCCCATATTCAGACAATAAGGATGCATGCAAGGATAGATTGAGTGTTACTGTGAGAGAGTCCCTAGAAGTTGGCAGACTATTTCTAGGGACTTAGGCCAAACTGAGGAAGGCATTTACACTACCATGTTTTGATATGATACCTTAGAAGTTCATAGGGCCAATATCCGGGCATCTCTTTCCTCTTTCTCTGAATGGCGCTGCCATGTGGCTCTGGAGAGGTGGACTCAGTTGGCCGTGTCCTAATGTACTGCCAATACTACAGAGATGTGTGTTGATCACTTATCATGCCAGTTGTACGTTATGTAGGCAGATTTGCTTCTTTCTATGACATAACCCTTACTGGTTTAAACAAACCGGTAATGCAAAGTGTGAGATCATACCCAAACGTAGAGGAGAAAAAGAATATTAATGTTATCCCAAATCATCTTAATTTCATCAACAGGTAGTCCTCACTTAACAACGGTAATAGGGATCGGCAGCTCAGTCACTAAAGCAAAACATGTGAACACACCAACTTGCAACGGCAGTTCCAGTTGCTGTTTTTAAGTTAATCCCACATGGATGTTAAGCTCTATGTTACATGACCACAACTTGTGACTTCTTGTCAGCTTCCCCATTGACTTTGCTTGTCGGAAGCTGGCTGTGAAGGTCACAAATAGCAAATGTGTGACTCCAGGATGCGACCATTCTAAATGCATGCTAGTTGCTAAGCACCGAAATTGTGATCACATGATCATGTAGGCACTGAGACAGCCACAACTTCGAGGATCAGTTGCAAGTCCCTCATTCAGCACCATTGTAACTTCGGTCACTGAACGAGTGGTTGTTAAACAAGGACTACCTGTATATCCTTTTCTAACACCCGTGAGCTGCCCGTGATGCTTACTGACTATACAAGAAAATGTATAGTGATGCTCTGTGATGCTTACTGACTATACAAGAAAATGTTATGGCTTTAATCTGTACCGACAGTGTTTACAATTTATTAACATATGTTATTTATGTTTTAATTCGTATTTTGTACTGAACTGTACTATGTTTGGCCAGTCTTTGACTGTTAGAAACTGAGTTTTACTATGTGTGTGAGTCAGCTTCTGTTGCGGGGATGTTCCTAGGACTGAGCAGCACAATAACTAAAGACAGCAATTTTGTGTGGACATCTTGGGAATAATCAGTCAGGTAGTGGGTGATGGAGAAAAAATTTAAGCTCTTAGTTGCTACAAGAAAGCACACCTAATATTGGACTAAATGAACTAGCGTTAGGTTCAAGTGCTCATGTGTTTTGTGAATCAAGCATTGTGCTTTAAAAAGCATGATTTATGGCTTAGTATGGCATGGGAATCTAGTCACTGTGGCTCGTTAACAAACCACAGCAATACAACGTGTGAGACCCTACCCAAATGTAGAGGAGAGAAAGAGTATGATTGTTTATCCCAACTCTTCTCAACTTCATCTGTCTCCTTTTCTAACAGCCCTATGAGCTGCCCGACGGCTCCGTGGTGGTTAATGCCAGGAATGAGTACGCCTACCACTGCAGATGCCGCATCGTGGTTCGCAGTACCGATGCCTGCGATACACTTCCACTGGGCAACGTGAGATTTGATGAGTATTTAGTGGATTCTGCAGTGGCTGCAGGAGCTCTTGTCAAATCTGGCCTGGTTTTCTTCACTAATCCGGCCCATAGTCACTTGCGTGAGTAAAAAATCAGAATATTGGGATTCTCTGTTTAGTATGTTATATGTGTATCTGGGTGTGAAAGTTGCACAACGCCATTGTTTGCTTAGCCTTGGTGCATTAAGCCACAGCTGGCTAAGTTCACTCAAGACCAGCGGGGGCGGGGGGATGTTTTTGCTGATTTTTTTTCCTAAAGGGTTCATGACATACAATAATATGAATCGGTATACACTTAAAATGAAGATAAGAAGAAATCGTCATCAACAAGCATAACCTAACATTCAAGAATAAAATTACAACCATCCAATTATACTAAAATTGTAAGTTTAAGGTGTTAAAGGCAAAGGTGAATATAATAGAGATTTAAATAATTTGGGTAAAGCTATAGAATAATAACTGAAGATAACTAAATATAGCTAAAGTGAAATATAAAATTTAACAACTACAGGCAGACAAACAATATATTTTAAAGCAACTTCACAGGGGCCCTGGGGGCGGGGGGGGGG